TAAAAGGGGGTATCCTGGGCACCTCTGCCCAAAAAAGTGATTTGTGTGAGTGGGGGTGAAAATGTTGAATGTTGGTTTAAAGTATTTTCTTTCTTTTTGGGGCCCCTGCCTCGGTGGGAGCAGCCCAATTTTTTTTTTTTTATTTTATATATAAAATTTTTTATATTTATATATATTTATATATAATATTTTATATTATATATTTTTTTTTTTTTTTCAACAAAATCGGCCGTTTTCCCCCCCCGAGGCAGGATGACCCAAAAAAGAAAGAAAATTTCCCCAAAAAAAAAATTCTTCCTTCATTCAACACTTTCACCACCCCCCATTATCACCGGGTTTTGCAGAGGTGTCGGGAAAACCCAAAAGCTTTGAAGCTTATACGTATAAAGATACAAAACAAAATCCCCCCAAAAATGACATTTTCCCTTAAACCCCCCCTTTTAAAGTTTCAGGCATTGTACTTCCCATTTCCCGGACTCAAGTCCGACTATATTTTTAAAAAACCCCGGGTTTCCCCGAATTTTAAAAAATTTCCCCGCCAAACCCCCAAAAGATCGTAGGTCCCCCAAATATCATTCGCCCCCATTCACTCCTATCTAACAGCTATGCCGCTTGCTGGAAATCCAAGCCCCCAGCCCACAAAACCCCCTTTTTCCCCCCTTTCCAACCCTTTTTCGTGGACGACCCCTTCCCCCCCTTCCCTTCCCCCATAGGGTTTATTTGGGTTTCCCTGTCATTCTACTTTGATCCCCTTTTTCTAAATGACCAAACCACCTTAAAAACCCCCCTTTTTTGCCCTTGGAAATAAAGCTTTTATTATCTCCTCACCCCCTAATTTTCCCCCACCCCCGAATTTTCGTTAATATTTTCACCTCACCCATTGCCCCTTTTTAAAAGGGAAACTTTCCCTGCCCCCCAAGTTCTCCCCGCTGCTGCATTTCCACCCGCTTTTACATCCATATAAGGGGGTTGGTACACTATACTTTCATACATTCCCTTTTTTGGGGCCCCAGTTTTCGGTTTTTTGACTCCACTTTTCCTCAAAGAAACCCTACCCTTTTTTCCCCCATCATTCTATGATTAACCTCATCCTTTATAAAACCTTTCCCACGGGCCGTCAACTCCCAAGTTCGGGAAAAAATTCACTTCTTCCCTCTCCTTTCCCCAATTTGGTTTTCCCTTTTTTTTTTATTTAAAAACATTTTTTCCCAATCACCTTATCTTTTCTAAAGTTCACTTTCAACTTTCTACCTTTTTCACACATTCTCAAAAATTTTATCCCCTTTTCCTTTGCAATTTTTTTTTTGAATCTCCCTAAGCAAAAGTATATAGCCAAAAAAATAACTGTTGTAATTTCATTTTGAAAATTTTATTTCCCCCTAATTTAATCCCCCCCCTCCCAAAAACCCCACCATTTATTCTTTTACATCCCCATCTATAAAAATTTTAAACAACCATGGTTGGGCATTAACTTTCCCCGGGCTAAAACAAAACTTTTTTCCGGGGAAATATTTCCCTTCTTTACAAAACCCCAACCAGAGCCCCCACTTTCCTCTTTAAAAAATTTTTTTCAGAATTTTGTAAAAAACCAAATATTCCCTATACTTGCAACATCTGCCACATTGTCCTCTATCCATTTATCATATCCTTTTCTAAATCCATAAATGCAATAAAAACTTCCCCTCCTTTATCAAATACGTTACTATTGTTCAATGTAAACCTTGATCTACACACCCCTCCCCATTTGAAGCCTCCCTGCTCATCCAAAATCCTACATTTGTTTTACCTCTAATTCTTTAAATTTAAAACCCCTCCCTTTATACTTTTCCTGGTATATCAGTAAACTTATTCCTCTATAATTTTTACAATTTTTGCCCCCTTTCCCCCTTTATAAAGGGGATTACATGCTTTCCCCCCAACCCCTAGGCCTTCCCCTTTTCTACATTTTTTAAAAAAATTTTAAAAAACCACTCCAACACTATATCCCCCCTGTTTTAACATTTCTTTGCCCCACAGTTCCAGGCTTTCCCCCCTTTATTCTCGTAATGCCTCAATACCCCCAACTTAATTCTGCTTTTTTTACTCCTAAAGTTTGGGTATCCCTCTTGGCCAGGCATGAAATTACTGCCTCGTTTTTTCCTTAACATTTAAAAGTTCCCAAAAATTCTCGCATCTCCCTAATACTCCTCCCCCCTTACAAAAATTCTCCTTTCTTTTTTTTAACTGAACAAATCCTACTTTCCTAGGTTTTTCTTAACTTTTTTTAATCCTCCAAAATTTTTTTTATTTTCATTGAAATTTCTTGACGTGTCTCTCCCATCTTTTCCTTCCTTTTTCACTCTCTTCCCTTTTTTTTACTTCTATATCTGCTCTTCTTTTAACACTTTGCCTTGTAAAAAAATCTCGTAAACTCCTTTTTCTTTTTATCACACCCTTTACTTTATCATTTACTAATCATCCTCTCTCCTGCCCCCCCCCTCTTTAACCCAAATTCTCCCCCCCTTCTAAATACTGCATTTTTAAAAACTTTCCAACCCTCTTAACCCCCCCATACCCTCTTTGCATAGCCCCTTTTGCAATAGTCGTTAATTTACCCGAACTTTCCCCCTCCTTGTTTAAACTTTCACCTCCCTCTTCTTCTTGTTGCCTCTTCCTTTTTTCCCCTCACCTCTTTCTTAATGTAGTACAACTAAAAAAATGACCCATATATATTTTATATATTTTATATATATTATTTTTAATATTATTATATATATTTTATATATATATATTAGTTTGAAGATTATAAAGTTTTTAAAAATACCCTTTCCAAAAAGTCAAAATTCCCGACACCCCTTAAAAGGGGGCTTTACTTCCCCTTTCCAGGACTTAAGTCCCCTTAAATTTAGTAAAAGGTTTTTTTGATCCCTTCACTAAATATTACTTTTTATAATATTCTTTTATTATTTTTTCATTTTTATTTTTTTACTTATTTAATATATACAAAAAAGGTTTGGCCGTCTCCCCCCAAAGGAAGGGTGACAAAAGAAAAAAAGAACCCAAAAAAAAAAAGAAAAAACTTTCTTTATCGTCAAACTTTCACCTTTCCCCGTACTAAACGTGTTTTTCAAGGGCGCCCGTACGACGTTTGTCACTCCAAACTTCCAATATCCCAAACCCGCCCTTCAAAGTGTAGGCATTGTAGTTCCTATTTCCATTACTCAAGTCCGGCTAACCGGTTTCCCTGAATCCCTTCACAAAAATATTACCCTGCTCACACTCCAACAGCTCGTCAGGTCACAAAAACCATTCGTCTCCATTCACTCCTATCACACATGCTCACGCAAGCTTGCTGGAAGTCCAAGCCCCACGCCCACAAAACCTTCTTTACCCCTTCCAACCTTTTCGAGCACAACCCCCTACCCCGCCTTCCTTCCCCTACAGATTTATACGCTCTCCTCATTCTACTTGTTCCATTCTATCTAAATGACCAAACCACCTCAACAACCCCTTTTCAACCCCCTGACTAACACATTTAGTAACTCCACACCTCATCTTGACTTCCACATTACAAATTCTCTGTATAATATTTACACCACACAACATCTCCAATGCCTCCAGCCTCCTCCTCGCTGCAACGTTTACAACCCATGCTTCACACTCATATAAGAGTGTTGGTACCACTATATTCTCGTAAATTCCCTTCTTTACCTCCATGGATAACGTTTTTTGTCTCCACAGATACCTCAACGCACCACTCGCATTGTTTTCTTCATCAGTTCTATGATTAACCTCATCCTTCATAAACCCATCTGCTGAAAAGTCAACTCCCAAATACCTGAAAACATTCACTTCTTCCATATTCCCTCCCTCCGATGTGGTATCTAATTTTTCTTTATCTAAATCGTTTGATACCCTCATCACCTTACTCTTATCTATGTTCACTTTGAACTTTCTACCTTTACATACCCTCTCAACTCGTCCACCAATCTTTGCAACTTCTCTTTAGAATCTCCCAAAAACAAAGTATCATCAGCAAAAAGTAACTGTCAACTCCCATTTTGTATTGATCCCCATAATTTTATCCCACCCCTCTCCCCAACACCCTAGCATTTGCTTCTTTTTTACAACCCCATCTATAAATATGTTAAACAACCATGGTGACATTACACATCCCTGTCTAAGGCCTAGTTTTACTAGAAGGTAATCTCCCTCTCTCCTACACACCCTAACCTGAGCCTATCCTCATAAAAACTCTTTACAGCATTTAGTAACTTACTATTCCATACACTTGCAACATCTACCACATTGCTCCCCTATCTACCTTATCATATGCCTTTTCTGTCCATAAATGCAATGAAAACTTCCCTACCTTTATCTAAATATTGTTCATTTATATGCTTCAATGTATACACTTCGTCCACACTTCCCCTACCCATTCTGAAGTCTCCTGTTCATCTGCGATCCTGCTCTCTGTCTTACCTCTAATTCTTTCAATAATAACCCTACCATACACTTTACCCGGTATACTCAGTGCGTATATATACTGAAGCGTTTACATGCGTTTACATGTAGCCTTAAGGTCCCTCTTTAGTCATTAGACTTTAATCCCAATTAACCAACAACCAACCTGATACATTGAAAAATGTATTTCTGAGGCTACATCCTTCTTAAATGAAGGAAAGTTTTAATATACACTTTCAGAGACGATTAAAAGCAATCACTGCAGCTCCACGATTGACCACGGGTGAACCTCAGTCGAGCTGAGCAGTATAAGTTGTATTTTCATCACAGTAGCGTCGTAATATTTACGAGTGGTATCATTCTAGGGTTGAAACTTTTCCTTAATATTAAGTGAATTTTTTTTGCATATCACATATCACGTTTACAGAAGGGAGGCGTCAAAATTAAAGTTGTTGGGTTTTAGGGCTAGAAGTTGTGCGGAAGGGGTGGATAAAAGTTATGAAGATGATTGAAACAGGTGGAGAAAGTTGATGGGCAAGAGGTTCATTGCTTCACACCTTCTGTCCTCTCTCCTTGTCCACAGCTCGCTGCTGGTTATTCACCTCACACTTATTCCCCGCCAGCACCTTCACCACTTCTGGCGATGCGTTCTGCAACAAACCATACATTAAAAAATAAAAGTAAATATGATAATATTAATAACAAACACGTGGACACAGTATCCATGTGACATGTTTCATGGCTTCGAATGAACTCCAGCTGGAGAGGCCATGCAGCATGACGCAAAAGTCTGTGTTACTAGTGGATTTTATATTCATAACAATGTGTACAAGTGTTGGTACTGGTGTCAGCAACGCTTTAACAAAACTGTTAAGAGTATTACAAAAGGTAAGTCAGTGACAGAACAAAAAAGGGTGGTTGAATGAACCGATTTGTGTTCAAACAGCCGAGACATTTTTACCAGACAAATTGGCATATATAAGTTGGATTTATCTGCAAACATTATTATTATAATCAAAAGGAAGCGCTAAACCTACCAGGGTCATACAGCATTATCTGCAAACAATAGTCTCAAACAGGGTTTTTGATGGCATTTCTTTCAGAATAAATTCCATCTAAATGAAAATATTTATTAGCTTTCATATTACAGTATGACAGATTAATGATATTAAGCTGTACCAGAAATAAATGTTAGCAAGATTATTGAGTAAAAATACTAAATTTTAAACCTGTGTAATATTATGGTGTATTAAATATAAATTAGCGTTCAGCATAAATACTAACAATAGTTACTGCTAAAACCCTTCTACAACACTGCAAACAGTCAGCATTCAACAGCATTTTTATCACTGTCCACCTTGAATTTATGTCTTATGACTGTAGCTCTTCTCACCCAAAAGTCACTCTCATGCTCAAACATATATACAGTTTTGACAAGCAAAACTGGTCTGTATGACCTTGGTGGGTTTAGCGCTTAGTTCTGATTACAGGCGAAACCATAAGAATGCACTGCACAACAAGGAAAATATCACTGTACAACAAAATCTGTAAAACTGCATTTTATCGTGAAATAATTTTTTTTTTATTTTTGCATCAAGACACTTACCAAACCGTGGTTGTTAAGTACGCAGTCAGCCTACTGTCCAATGCTAGGGAAGTCTCCCCACCTTCCTGTGCATAGTCACCTTTTCGAAGGTCTTCTGATGGCAGGAGGGCTGTAAGTTTGTCGTACAAGAGACTTCACATAATCCTTGTTTCTGATCACCTGGAAACTGAGAATACCCCGAAGCTTGTCTCCTATACTACAGTATTATCTTTCTTCCGTTTCCACGTCTATAATATTCGTCTTAAATCCTGCGCCGTCTTTAGTTACAAAAAGTGACTCCCGATGTCTCAAAGATGGAAATATTATATAATACATCCCACAACAAACGTAAGCGATTTCCAAAAGTCTTTTACATCTAAGCAACCGACAACTGATTTTCAAGGCATCCTTTAGAGCAATGTACATCTTGACAACTGGTTCCTAATAAAATATCGTAAGTGTTAGCACACGTCTCTTTTTTCTCAACTTTTCGGTATCATACGTCTAATTGTGGCCAATGTACCTTATGTTGCATCCCTCCACTTTCCTAGTTCGTCTTCCCATCTATTGCCCCATTACCATCTGCGTCGCCTCCTGGTCTCTTGCATTCGTCTCCTGACTGTCACATTTTTCCTCTACACACTGGGTCTCCTGCCACATCCTATACTTTTCAGTCGGGGTCCTGATATTTCTGCTTTTGATTGATTATCCGGTCATTGCATCATTTTTGTTTTCCTGCCTTCTTGAATATCCATTTTGCAATAAAATCTATAAAGGTAGAGAAGAAATCGAAGCGCTTAGCTTCTTCCAAGTGTATATCTCGTTATATAAAGAATAATTCCTTGACATTGTAGGATTTCTTGTCTCTGGTTGTCTTCCTACATTTGGTCGACTCTTACCTTGATGCCTCGTTTAATGAGTGTTTTTTTTTTTTTTTTTTTTTTTGGTCCTACATTTCCTTCGCTCATTTTTCTGATCGCATTCCACTGTGAACCCGCACTTACTGATGCACGTCGTATGCACACAGCTTCTTTTACTGATCTCTCTCCTGTTTGTCCTGTCCCTAAATATACTACTTATTTCTTCCTAGCCCGAAGAACTACTTCTATTGTAGAATTTCAATGTCATTTATTTCTGGGTGGTTTTTTTTATTTATTTCCGCGACAATCTTATTAAGGCTTTCTAACCTAGCACCTCTCGTTGTCTTAAGGTCTGGTACTCTTACTTTTATTGAGCTTCGAATTCGTATTGATTCTCGTATCGCCCTCTTATTTTGCTCTTCTTTCATCACTCTTAATTTAGCTTGAATTGTGGTAAGTGAACAATCTTTAAAACAGAGATAATTTTTTTTACACAGCCTTCTTCCCTCCCCTCCCAAACTTTTGGTGCCAAATTGATCCCACTAACTGTCCTCTATTAAGAAGAATGCAAAATCATAAGGACAGCGGAGCAATGAAATAGGCTTACTGGCATATGCTAGGCAAATTCAACTCACAACTCCACCCACGTGGGTACATGGCAAAAGCCTAGAGGAACAAAAATTCATATTTTCTCTTTTTCCTGTTAATCTGACTGTTCTTCTATTAATGGTGGAAAAAATAAGGTCAATCGGGCCTCAGGACGTGTATTCATACATGTGTACTACAGTGGATCCTTGTAACTGCCTGAGCTATCAGTCTCAAGCTAGCTGCTACGGATAATGTCGTGCTGAGAAATGGTTTATGGCTTCGTCACGTTTTACGATTACCGAAAAGAACTTGCTGGCAGGTTTATGTCTCCTCCTCTGGGCCACTTCTCCTGTAAATGCAGTGTGGAAGAAGGTGCGGAAGGCCATGGACAAGTTTTTACCCACCTTAGCTCCCGTTCTTCATATGCCTGGCATCGAAATCACAAGTTTCATCGAAGTGGGTAAAGAAAAACGTCACCACTTCGTCCAGATCTGACAAAGGAACATTTACCCACTTCGTCCAGATCTGGCAAAAGAACATTTACCCACTGGCTTTCTCTGATCTGTTTCCATATGGGAATCTACTGGAATACACTATTTACCCATAAATAACGTTTCAGCGTTACCCAGGCGTCTACTTATAGCAGCCGGGCAACGTAAGATGGATGGTTTCACTGTTCATTATGGGCAATACAAAACGCATGGTCTCATAGTTCAACATGGGCAATATAAAACAAGACGCATGGTCTCACGGTCCAGCACTTGCACTTGCAGTTTTTGGCATTCGTCTTATTCATGCATCTGTAAAATTACTGGAGAGGAGAGTTAATAGTATACTGGTGTGGTACCTGGAAACTCAGGATTGTCTAGTTTCTCGCTAATTTGGTTATCAGAAGGATTATTCCGTTACAGGCCTACTTCTCTTAATAAGTCAACAGGACTAATGGGGACTCGAACTATGGTTCATCGGATTAGCAGGCAACCAGTACTTCCGTGATTCATTCATCTGCAACGCATTTACTTATCGTCACCTGCATATAACTGTCTTTTCATCAGTCTTCAAGTCTGCAAGGTAATTCAAAACTATAGATCTGTCTCCCGGTTCATAAATAGGTACTGCAACACACTAGCCCTCTTCTATATTTTAGGTATGATTTTTCTGAAAGTTTACTAATTCTTCTTTGAATTTTAATAATAAAAAAAAGCTCTTGAAATAGTTTATTGGGGCCCGGGGCTTGTTTGGTTTTAATCTGTCTACTTGTTTGAGAACCGGGCCGCTAGTGACTTTTATTTACATGCTCGTCATCGCTCCTCACATTCGCACTCTCTCTTTCTCTCTACCTCTTAAAATTCAAAGCAAATGTCTCAATTAAATATTCATATTACAAAAAATAAACTGGATAAAGTGGGATGTCCTCAACTCTCCAGTCCACAACCTCCAATTTTCTAACGGGTTAAGGTCATGCCGTTCGCGATTTTACCGTTCGTGAAGTTTTCCATGGATGTTGCCTTTGTAAATGGCAAGGGATCATGGCACTCAGATAGGAGGAGGAGGAGGAGGAGGAGGAAACTGAAGACAAGCAAAGAGAAGGGAAATGAGAGGGGAATGGAGGATGGGGAATATGAGGGAAGGATAAGAAACAGGAAGGTGCATGAAAAAGAGTAGTACATGATAGGAAAGGCATATACCAGAAGACTTTTTTAGTCGACACCGAGGATATATGTTGAGGACTGTCTACTACTATCTTGTTAAAAGACTATCATAATAATAATAATACGTAATACTAATACTAATAATAATAATAATAATAATAATAATAATAATATAATATCTTTATTTTCTCCAAGTACATGTACAAGGTATACAGGCTTAGCTGAATGACATACTACTAAGTACAATTAAAGTCCCTTGTTATGCAGAGTATTCCAGACAAATTAGGTCAATTTTGTCCCAGGATGCGACCCACACCAGTCGACTAACACCCAGGTTCCCATTGTACTGATGGTTGAACATGGACAACCAGGTTACTAACCACCTACTGTTAGCCATGTACTATTATCAGACGAGTGATGCAAGGATGATAAATTAGGAGACTCTCTCCCTCCACACACCCCAGCTCCTGATAGCATCCGACAGTAGAAAAAATACCAGATCACAATGGAAACCCAGACTTTAACATTTTATAGAAACGTTAACGTGGGTCTAAGGCATGAGCTGCTACTATTATTACTACTACATACTACGCTTTAGGTCGACCGTGGCTAACCAGACAGCCTGTGTCATTCAGGAATTTCTGCCAGGATGACGTTGGACAATGCCTAGAGTGCACTGTGCCTATTACAAACTTATATTTAAGAAGTATTTTTCCAGATGATTTTGAAGGACTGAATTACTCTGGCATTGACAACCTCTGGTGGGAGACTATTCTAGCAGTAAAACACAGCAAGAGGCATTCTTGAGCTTCCACAGCGCTCGGGCTTCGACCCAAAGCTGGGGTGTGGCTCCAAAAGGATCCTGTAGTGCTTGTTGCCTTTGCATCTCCTGACATCGTCTGCTGCTATGCAACTGCCTCACCCTTCGAGCCCAGTGTGGGCGGGGTTTGAGGCAGCCCAAGGTGCCTAGCTTCTCCCTCCGAGCCCCGTGGGGGCGGGGATTGAGGCTGGGCCTGGGAACAACTGGTCCCAGACGATGAGGAGGTACTTGTACCTCCTCCCATGACAGGCTTTGGTCTGAGAAACTCTCTCGACAGGGAACCAAGACCGGGCCACCTCTGAGAAAAGGCCTGGGCCTTGGTCGGCGAATCTATAACAACAACAACAACAGATCCATAAATCTGTGAAAAAGCCCTTACCCATTATTCGTTTTCGACCAGTTGCCACAGTGTCGTACTATTTCTTCGTGTAATTGTTTCACTTAAAGTATAATTATTTTACCTGTGTTTACGACACTCATATATTGCTAAACAAATGGATAGGTACGTAAATAAACAAAATTTGGAGCAGAAGATAGTAACTGTGAGACCGACCTCTTCAATGTTTCTGAGCCAGTAGGAGAGGTGGTTGAAGGAGTCGAGGTTGGTAACATCGTAGACGAGGACGATACCCTGGGCACCACGGTAGTAAGCCGTCGTCAGTGTCCTGAACCTTTCCTCCCCGGCCGTGTCCCTGCAAGCGTGTCCTTGGTTAATCAGGTTTAAAGCCTATCATGAGGTTTATAAAGGTCATGTCATCTGTACACCACTAACAAAGGATATGTTAATTTCTAAAATAGGGATTACAATAAACTGTCACTGCATATAATTAAGACATACGCTTATCTGTGGATATAAACCTTTGCCTGCAAGTGGCACATACGCTTATCTGTGGATATAAACCTTTGCCTGCAAGTGGCAAAGGTTTCCACTGTAATACATAGTACAGTTAAATATCCTCCAAAAGGGGATACCTATAGTGGTTACTAGAGTCATATCAGCCGTTTTTTTTTTTTTTTGTGCGATAAGAATGTCTCTCCTGACAGATTTACAGCCTCGTGTCCAATCTGTAAAAGCCGATATAAATAAGTGCTAAATATATTTTTAATAATTTCTTTCAATTTTACATAAATGATTTTATAGCCGACTTGACTTTGGACGATATCTCACATATGCTCGAAGAAAATCTTTTCAAAATTTTATGCGGTGACTGCACCTATTTGGTATTAACGGTTTAAATTTAAAAGTGATTTCTTCCATCAATGGAAAATTACATAAAACATTACGTGTTAATAATTTTATTTTTGCATTTTTCAAATTAATTGCAAATATGACTAAAAATTTAAATACGATATATAATATAACTTTAAGGTTTTATGATATATTATTTACGCAATTCTGTTCATTTTTATCTTACACTTCATAGCAAACTTATCAATTAACAAAGTCATAATTTAAATTTCTGTCTATGATTCATTAAACTGTGACTCAAGCACCTGGGGGAATAATCGTCTTGAGGTTTATGATGATCAGTTTCTACTTTGCTTCTAAATGCTCTTGTTCTAAGAAATTATAGCTTCCTAGGATCAAATTACTTACTTCCAATTACCAAGTGTCATATAACTCCTATAAGTTAGTTAAGCACTTCCCTTATTATAATAATAGTAATAAAGATTGGCCTACTCGTTTCCACTCTACAGCCGAGAAATTACTACCTAAAACCGTTATTAATATTTATGTTCCCCTCTTCCTCTGGCAGTAGCTGGCAATCAAATTGGTCTATGGTTGAGTGAGCGTCTCTTACTAACAGACTACGTATATCATTTGAGAAATATTAAATAAGATACAATGACTTGTCTGGTTGATCTCTAGCGTTAGTGGTATTTGGCTGCATTTAGTTCCATTTTTTGGGCTTCCTAAGATAGCTGACCTACAGCCCCAGGCTAAGCTACTGATATGCTTAGCTGTGTCTGAGGAATTTGAGCTTGAGTTCAGGGCCTAACATACTGATCTCAACGCCATCCGAGTTTGATAAAGTTAACCTTCAGCTTCTTGACCTCTTAAGGGTCTCCAAACGTTTCTGCATCCTACAAGATCAAATCGTTAATAAAATATTCAGTGTTAAATAACTTGAGAATGCTTTTTTTTCTTATTCGCCGGTATTCTCCCGACCCGGGTCTTTTCCAAGTAGTGGTGACCAGGCCTTGGCTCCCTATCTGGGGAGTATCTCGAGACCTAAATCTCCCATGGGAGGAGGTACAAGCACCCCCTCATCTTTAGGACCAAGTGTCCCCAGGCCTAGCCACAGTCCCCGCCCTCACGGGGCTCGTAGGGAGAAGCTAGGCCTCTGGTCTGCCATCTGCCCCGCCCCAAAGGGGCTCGTGGGGATGGCAGTCTTATGAGCTGCAGGTAATAGCAAGCTCAGGCCTTCTCTTTGAGAATGCTTCACAACGAATTTTACCTGAAGTTTGCTACATATAATTATGCTGCCGTGTGAAAGTGCTTACGAATGCACAAACGTGCCAAAAAAGCAATGAAACTTTATTTGAAACTCTTCGACGAGGTAAACAATACAGTTAATGCATATTTATATTAGCAGTTACATAGGAGAGGCCGTGTAGGATCTGAACTGGTGCCATACTGCTAAGTTCAGAAGCCACGAAACTGTGTTACCAATGAGCCAGCAAATGTACAAAGCAGAACTTGTGGATCTTGTCTACTTCATAATTCGTAATTTCTCAACTGTGTGAAACTTAATTGCAAAGACGGGAGCGAAGTGTAACATGAATTAGCGTCACCTTAGCTAAAGATGGTGTCAGAAGGGATAAAACGCCGACTGGAGTTTACGAGTATCCTATAATAGACTAGTAGATTTAGGTTTTAAAGTCATAAGCTCTCATCATCATCAAAATGTACACATAAGGAGGGATATATATTAAAATTTTGTATAACTACTGAGAGTTTACTTTAGCCCATATTGCTGAGATTAAAGTACAGAATTATTAAATGGTGGCGTTCACGTGGAATAGTCACAATGAGCCTCATACGGGTGACAAACCTATCTGTATTTTGTATATCCAGGAGACATACCGCGTATGTCTCCTGGAAGTATGACGAGGATTCAAATAACACACCTCATTCACAATTTGGAAGTTGAATGCAGTATGAAACTTTATACTACCCTTCGTATGCTCTTCAAATTCATTAAAATAACCTTTCAATCTGGCACATAATTTAGAGCTAACACTCACAAATTAACAAACAAACACACACACACACACACACACAACACACACACAGAGGCAAAAACTAAGTACTCTAGAGAATGGAAAAAGTACAGAAGGCAAAGGACTCAGAAAAATAAAGAGATCAGTCGACGAGCCAGAAACGAGTATGCACAGATAAGGAGGGAGGCGCAGCGGCAGTATGAAAACGACATAGCATCGAAAGTCAAGTCTGACCCGAAACTGCTTTACATCCACATCAGGAGGAAGACAACAGTCAAGGACCAGGTAATCGGGCTGAGGAAAGGTGGGGAGCTCACAAGAAACAACCAAGAAGTCTGTGAGGAGCTCAACATGAGATTTCAGGAAGAATTTACAGTGGAGGCTGAAGGGACACTGGGAAGACAAAACAGTGGGGTACGTTAACAAGGAATAAACCAACAAGTGTTGGATGAATTACACACAACTGAGGAGGAGGTTGAGAAGCTCCTAAGTGACCTTGATACCTCAAAGGCGGTGGGACCGGACATCTCTCCGTGGGTCCTTAGAGAGGGAGCAGAGATACTACGTGTGCCACTAACCAAAATCTTCAACACTTCCCTTGAAACTGGGCAACTACCTGAAGTATGGAAGAAGGCAAATGCAGTCCCCATCTTTAAGAAAGGAGACAGAAATGAAGCACTAAATTATAGACCAGTGTCACTGACGTGTATAGTATGCAAAGTCATGGAGAAGATTATCAGGAGGAGAGTGGTGGAGCATTTGGAGCACAAGATAAACAACAGCCAGCACAGATTCATGGAAGGCAAATCCTGTGTCACAAACCTACTAGAGTTTTATGACAAGGTAACTGAAGTAAGAAATGAGAGGGAGGGGTGGGTTGATTGCATTTTCTTGGACTGCAAGAAGGGCTTCGACACAGTTCCTCACAAGAGATTAGTACAGAAGCTAGAGGAACAGGTACATATAACAGGAAGGGCATTGCAATGGATCAGGGAGGCAACAGCGAGTCATGGTCCGTGATGAGGTATCACAGTGGGAGCCGGTGACGAGCGGGGTCCCACAGGGGTCAGTCCTGGGACCAGTGCTATTCTTGGTATATGTGAACGACATGACGGAAGGGATAGACTCAGAAGTGTCCCTGTTTGCAGATGATGTGAAGTTAATGAGGAGAATTAAATCAGATGCGGACCAGACAAGTCTACAAAGAGACCTGGACAGGCTGGATACGTGGTCCAGCAACTGGCTCCTAGAATTTAACCCCGCCAAATGCAAAGTCATGAAGATCGGAGAAAGATCCAGTAGTGAGTATAATACCGAGTACATCGCAAGAAGTACACATTAACCAGATAACTGCTGCGGCATATGGGCGCCTGGCAAACCTGAGAATAGCGGTCCGGTACCTCAGTATGGAATCGTTCAAGACTTTATACACTGTGTACGTCAGGCCCATACTGGAGTACGCAGCACCAGTTTGGAACCCACACCTGGTCAAACACGTCAAGAAATTAGAGAAAATGCAAAGGTTTGCAACAAGGCTGGTTCCAGAGCTAAGGTGAATGTCCTATGAAGAAAGGTTAAGGAAAATCGGTCTGACGACACTGGAGGACAGGAGGGTCAGGAGAGACATGATAACGACATACAAAATACTGCGTGGAATAGAAAAGGTGGACAAAGGCAGGATGTTCAAGAGATGGGACAATGAAACAAGGGGTCACAATTGGAAGCTGAAGACTCAGATGAGTCAAAGGGATGTCAGGAAGTATTTCTTCAGCCACAGAGTTGTTAGGAAGTGGAATAGTCTGGCAAGCGATGTAGTGGAGGCAGGAACTATACATAGTTTTAAGACGAGGTATGATAAAGCTCATGGAGCAGCGAGAGGGAGGACCCAGTAGCGGTCAGTGAAGAGGCGGGGCTAGGAGCTGAGTCTCGACCCTTGCAACCACAATTAGGTGGGTATAATTAGGTGAGTACACACACACACACACACACACACACACACACACACACACACACACACACACACACACACGGGGCCAGAAGCTTGGACTCGACCCCTGCAACCTCAACTAGGTGTGTACACACACACAGGGAAGTCCTGCATCACTAACGTACTTGAGTTATACGAAAAGGTAACAAAAGTAAGAGAGAGAGAGAGAGGAATGGGTACACTGCATCTTCCTGGACTGTAAGAAGGCCTGCTCCTCCAGCTTGAAAAGCTAGAGGAGCAGGCAGGAATAGCAGGGAAAGTAATGCAATGGATCAGAGAATACCTGACCGGAAGGAAACAACATGTGCTAGTACGTGACGAGGTGTCAGAGCGGGTGCATGTGACGAGTGGGGTTCAACAGGGTCAGTCCTAGGTCCAGTGCTGTATCTAGTATATGTGAATGACATGACAGAAGGGACAGATTGAGACATGTCCATTTGCAGACGATGTGGAGCTAACGAGAATACAAGTGAACGAGGATCATGTAAGCATACAAGGAGATTTGGTCAGGCTGTAGGCCTGGTCCAATAAATGGCTCCTGGAGTTTAACCCCCAGCAGGTGCAAAATCATGATGTTTGGGGAAGGACAAGGAAAACCGCAGACGGAGTACAGCCTAGGAGGTCAAAGGCTGCAAAACTCACTAAAGGAAAAGGATCCTGGGGTGAGAATCATACCGAGCACATGAGGCGCACATCAACCAAGTAACTGTTGCAGCATATGGGCGCCTGGCAAACCTAAGAACAGCGTTTTGACATCTACGTAGTCATTGAAGACACTGTACACTGCGTACGTCAGGCCCATTCTGGAGTATGCAGCACCAGTATGGAACCCACACCTGGTCAATCACATCAAGAAATTAGAGAATGTGCAAAGGTTTGCAACAAGACTAGTCCCGGAACTAAGAGGTATGGCCTACGAGGAGTGGTTAAGGGAAATCAACCTAACGACACTGGAGGACAGGAGAGATAGAGGGGACATGATAATGACATATAAAATATTGAGAGGAACTGACAAGGTGGATAGGGACAGGATGTTCCAGAGATGGGACACAGTAACAATCGGTCACAACTGGAAGCTGAAAACTCAGATAAGTTACAGGGATGTTAGGAAGTATTTATTCAGTCACAGACTTGTCAGGAAGTGGAACAATCTGGAAAGTGATGCAGTGGAGGCAGGATCCATACACTGCCTCAAGGAGAGGTTCGTTAAAGCTCATGGAGAATGGATGGAGTGGACCTAGTAGCGACCTCAGGTACGTTAAAGCTCATGGAGAATGGAGGGAGTGGACCTAGTAGCGACCAGCGAAGAGGCGGGGCCAGGAGCTATGAATCGACTCCTGCAACCACAACTAGGGGAGTACACACACACACATACATACATTACAGATCCTGTCTTTAAAAAAGTGCCTTTGACAGCTGGTGACTGACATAATATAGATCAGTTTATACAACTAAATGAGCTAATAAAATCAGAGAAAGAGTTAAACATAGTTTGTAATGTTGCATGAAGATTCTCTCTCTACTTACCATATTTGTAATTTGATAGGAACTCCGTCCAAGTTGACTATTTTTTGCTTGAAGTCGATTCCTGAAGAGAAAATCCGAATGAAATATTTAATTTCTGGAATAAGAATAGCGAAGATTGTGTACATAAAAAATATTGATAATAATGCATATAATTAAATGCGTAAATGATAAAAATGGGTAAAATAGTAGATTGCTAGGGGGCTACAACAACAAACGCAAGAAAAACGAACAAGTTTGCAATATAGGAGTTCTCCTGCAATGCAGAACAGTCAACAACAGGTGTTCAATAAAGAAGTCCCCTGACCCTCCAGTACAATCAAGAACTGGTGTTCAATAAATGCATCCATACCCCTCTTGAAGACAAACTCAAATGTTCAATGAAAGGGCTCCTAGCTTACTTGTCTAACAACAGGTGTTCAATACAGGTCTCCATGATCCCTTCTGCAAAACCATCCATTTTGAGCTATTAGCTTCTTGCTGGAAAGTTGCTTCTCTTGCTGCTACCAATGCTTCCATGTGTGTGTGTGTGTGTGTGTGTGTGTGTGTGTGTGTGTGTGTGTGTGTGTGTGTGTGTGTGCGCGTGTTGATGCTACATAAAATAAATTCTAGTTTTTTCAAAGAAACTTCGTATGTGAAGTTACCCACCTATTTTTTGAAACATTTTCACCATCTCATCATAAATGATTTTTGGCTTAAATAGGAACGCTCTTCCTGCCGAATAAGTCAAGCGAAAATTTGTGTATGCAGTAATTTCGCAAAAATCATTCTGAACCTAACGGAAAAAAATACATATATTTCCTTGTATTTGTTTATTATTAAATTATTGTAAACTTATCTAAAATATATTTAGTTGGATTAGGCTAAATTAAATTGCGCTTGTTATAATAAGGCTATAATAAGAAAATTTTAGAAAGGACTTAATTTTAAGTGAGTTCTTGCTAATTGACTAGTTTTACCTATTCGGCACGGCATATATATCATCATTACCACCATTAACATCACCACCATCGCCACTAGCTCCACTATCGCCGCCACCACCACAACAGCGCCCCCTGGAATTCAAATCAGGTCTCCTCTTCCCTTTAACCGCACCCAATTTTTATACTAGTAGTGCTTGAGGCTGTGTCGTGGGGCAGCAAGTGGTTCTTTAGAGTCACAGGCTGAGGCAAAGTAAGCACTTGAACCGTCTGCCTCACGACGCACTTTCAACACTTACATAACACTCGAAAAGCCTATTAGCTGTTAGGTGGGTGGTTTGTGGGAGGGGGAGAGAGGGGTCATAGCCATCGATACTGGGAGAAAAAAACTGCTGACACAGTGTATATACACCGAGAGGTGTATTTCTTTCAGAATATATATGCTGAGAGTTTACCTTAAATCCCATTTTAGGGATTAAAGTATTCTTGTCTGGTGATAAAGAGATTACGTGCAGCCTTTGTGACCCCGCTGTAATCGATAGGCTTTAAACTCCATTAACTAACCAAAAGAAAGGAAGAAGGGAAACAGTGAGTGAAAAATAGCCCCGTCTCGAGATCATTTATATAAATTGTGAAAAGACCTGGCCTATGGAATGGGGTTTGTAGTCAGCTCATTCGCTCAAGACACTTCTTCCTTAATAACAACCAGTATCTTCCTGGTGAGCCAGATCGGTGATCCACACTTAAAGCTAGTATCACATACCATGCACCTATATTTTTAAGAATAATTTTCGATGGGGTGCCGGCTTGAGAAGCAACAATTTTTTTTTTTTTGCGACCTGTGTATGTTGGTGTAATGTTCAGCTGAACATAAAGAGGTGAAGGCTGTGTTCAGTATTTAATTTACTTGTGTTCTCTGTCAAGTCTACCGTTGCTGTTTAAAGATGTGTAACTGCTTTCACCTGCTCTGATTACTGTTTACGCTGTATGTACATGATGCCCTTAACCTGTGCATCACTGAGCGCAAGGAGTGGTGGAGGCTCCAAGTTTCGTCAGCAAATCTTTTGATGGATGCGCTTCTCTTGTAGCAAGCTAGGCAGAGGGAAGAATCATTAAATTTCCGAGATATTTTAACAATTCTTTATAGTTGATGATAATAATGTGTTTAATTCTTGCTTGCAATTTTTTTTACCATTATCTCTCTCGCTCTCTGTACCCACGTGTATACAATTGGTAAATTATCTTAGGGATTAGCAGTTTACTTCAATTTCTTATATGCAGTTTTTAATATTTATTATAAAACAAAAAACTGATACATCAGCAGTGTGCTGTTACCCATTCTAAATGTAATTAAACAGTGGAAACAAAATATTGGCGTTTCCTTGTCACATTCCATCAATCAGGGTGGGGCTCATACAAGGTGTTGAAATTGTCAGCCTGAGCTGGGAGACTTCAGTAAGACAATGAGGATATCATCAAGCATTTCAGCAAGGTTTCATTAGCTATGGAAGCTTCAAAGGTTTCCTTCCAATAGAGCTGGAATTACTATTACTTGGGAAATGTTATTTATCAGGATAATCTGTCCCATACACAGAAATGGAATTCTTGTTTTCGTAACTTTTTAAAGACGGGGCGGGAAGGAGAGGGTGGAGGGGAGGGAAAGGAAAAGGTTGAGTAGGGAGAGAGAGATAAGGATGGGAGGGGAGGGCAGAGGGCGAGAAACAGAAGCTTCACTGAGAACTGCGCTTTCACCATTACTTGGGAGCCTATGGTTTTGTTCAGGCTTCATCAGTTGCACAGAGTCGCAATGTTGCCAGGATGCAGCTGCCGTTGATGTAACCATGTGTGTGTGTGTGTACTCACCTATTTGTGGCTGCAGGGGTCAGTTCATAGTTCCTGGCTCCGCCTCTCAACTGGTCGCTACTAGGTCCACTCTGTGTGTGTTTGCTTCACAACAGGTGACCAGCTTAGGCAACAGAAGGGGATGTACCCCAAAGGGAACAGGAGAAAAAACGTTTTATGTTAATTAACCTATTATACCTCAAGAAAAATTCAAATGTGATTTATTTCCATCGGAATCTCTCCTCTAGCATGCGACGTGTAAGTCAACTAGCACCTGGTTACCGATTTCAGTAATAGGCGAACATGAACAGGTGTATACCTGTATGTGTATGTATGTATGTATAATATATATATATATATATATATATATATATTATATATATATATATATATATATATATATACATAATGTTTACTTTAATTTTTATTTTAGGCATTACAATAATCTTAATATTTTGTTGGTTGGTTGAATGATCAATTTAAAAGCATATCGACTACACGAGGGTTGTTAAGGTTGCATATAGCCTGTACACCCCTCAGTCAAAAATACTTTAAACCCAAGTGTGATTAAAGCTCTCAGTGTACACATGCACACTGAGATACGCTGCGGTTTATTATGGCATTTATCATGGATTGATAAACTCTCTGGTGGACGAAACGTCTTCTCCGTAAATGCCAAGGATGCACATTGTGTCTTATTCACATTGCTGATACTTGCTGCCTTTAATGACCCACGTGGAATCGATAGTCCGGGATCGAGGCAGCAATCTGGATTACTTGTTGTACTTGAGGGGAATATAAAGAAAAGGAACGGATGAACAGACGGACATGACAGATCGACACTCCAGAGCAAGCGTGAGCAGGAATTAGTGGTGGTCGATAGCTGTGCTGCTGCTGTGGCGCCACCACTACCACCTCCACCACACCTATGTCCCACATGTTCCAAAGATTCTCCTCGTCCATTACAACAATGGCCCATTACCACATTAATTTTATACAATACCGACAGTTACTCTTCAATGTGCCATGTGTTTCAAGACTTCAGTATGTCCACTATACCAGTGTGCCTCACCATGTCCATCCTTCTGTCCTCAACCTTCTTGAGTAGTCAGGAAACGCGTCTGTCTCAAGTGAACAGGACATCGAGGCTCCACTACCCTTTACTCTGAATCACTAACACGGGTTCAACGCTTCACATTAAGTTTAACTAATCGTCTTCCCTCTTCATAAGCATCAGTGTTGACGAACCTTTGACATTAGCCCGTTATTCTCCAAGCTAAAGGTGTTTTAATGACAACAATATTTGGAGCTGTTCACCTCTCAAGGCGTGTCAATTGCACAACATAAATAAGGAAATGTTAAACAATGCAACGCAAAAGAGTGCTCTGGAATCTAAAAACTCAAATGAACCAGAGGGACTAAGAAGAGTTCTTATTAAAGAGTAAATGTAGTGTGCAAGTATAATACGAGGTGGTGTCTAAAAGTTCCCGGAATCGAATTTCCGCGCGCTTAGTGGGTGAATATATATATATATATATATATATATATATATATATATATATTATATATATATATATATATATATATATATATAATGTGCCTTACAGGTAAAACTGGCCAATTAGCAAGAACTCATTTAAAATTAAGTCCTTTCTAAAATTTTCTCTTATACATTTAAAGATATATTATTTTCCTTAATGTTGATGTAAAAATTTATAATTTTGCACCCAAAAGGAACTTAGAAAACTTACCTAACCTTATTATAACAAGCGCAATATATTTTAGCCTAACCCAACTAAATATATTTTAGATTTGTTTACAATAATTTAATACTAAACAAACACAGTGAAATATATTTTTTTAGTAAGGTTCAGAATAATTTTGGCGAAATTATTGCATACACAAATTTTCGCTTGTCCTAAATGGCAAGATGAGCGTTGCTTTTTAAGCCAAGCTCGCAAGTTCTGCCTATTCGGCACGACATATATATATAAATAAATATATATATATATATATAATATATATATATATATATATATATATATATATATATATATATATATATATATATGTATGTATATTCACCCACTAAGCGCACGGAAATTCGATTCCGGGAACTTTTAGACGCCACCTCGTATTATACTTGCACACTACATTTACTCTTTAATATATATATATATATATATATATATATATATATATATATATATATATATATATATATATATAAAACAACACTGCACTAGTCAAAGACTCGAACCCATGTTGTACTGGCCCGCCTCATGGTGAGCCAGAACCACATGACGCCTTAGACCACAGGACCACCCAATCCTACAAAGATGGCGCAGCCAGCAGAGCTAGCTGTTTGATCGCCACCCGAAGACGTTCGGTGTTATGGGAGCTTCCAGGCTAATTTCATTCTCATCTCTGTTTGGTGTACTAGTCCACGAGCAGCATATATATATTATTGTGACCACAAACGAGTGGTATTGATCAATAACAACACTGCACTAGCCAAGGAATCGAACCCACGTTGTACTGGCTCACCTCATGGTGAGCCAGAACCATATATGCTGCTCGTGGACTAGTACACCAAACAGAGATACGAATGAAATTAGCCTGGAAGCTCCCGCAACACCGAACGTCCTCGGGTGGCGGTCAAACAGCTAGCTCTGCTGGCTGCGCCACCTTTGTAGGTTTGGGTGGTCCTGTGGTCTAAGGCGTCCTGTGGTTCTGGCTCACCATGAGGCGGGCCAAGACATCATGGGTTCGAGTCCTTGGCTAATGCACTGTTGTTATTGATCAAATGCCACTCGTTCGTGGTCACAATAATATATATATATATATATATATATATATATATATATATATATATATATATATATATTGTTAAATAGCTTAGCCCATTCTATAAACTTTACTGTTGAGTTTGAGGAAAATAACTCATTGCCTTTTCTAGATGTTGTAATTATTAAGGGTAATAATGAATTCAAATTTAAAATTTACAGAAAACCTACAAATAACTGTTCCTATGTACACTATTATTCTTCACATCAAGATAGAGTTAAACTGTCTGTTTTCTCATCAATGTTTCTGAGAGCTTTGCGTACTTGTAGTCCAGAGTTCATAGATGAAGAAATATCCAAAATTTATGAAATAGCTAATGATCTGAAATACCCAAGAAACGTAATTGATAAATCTTTTAAAATTGCGAGAAATACATTTTTACAATACAAAAAGGGACAACCAACCTTATTCAACTAAAAATATGTTGGTTCTCCCTTACCATGATATGCCTTCTCTTCTTAAGACTTTTAATATTAAAGTTATATTTAAAAATATTGATACAGTAAAAAAAAAACTTTT